AAGTAAGCAATCACAGTTTTCATTGTCACTCTCTTTGCAGGTCAATGCAACCCCTGATGAGCGTGCGCAAGACCGAAATATTGCTGAGCACACGTTTTATGGGGTAAAGGGTCACCTAAGACCAGAGAACAACAACAAGCCCGAAACAAAGAACAAAAAAATGCTGCATGCTGCAAAAATGGTTCAACAAATGACCAACGTTACGACATTCCTTTCTTCGTTAAAAAAAGAGCCAGACTATGTTTTTGTGGACATTCCAAAGCATCCTGACGGTAAGCTACTGCTAGATGATTCACTTTATCTGAAAATGGTGTTGGATTATACTCTCACTGCTTAACGTATAACTGTCTGAGTGACTGAGAGAGATAAAAATGACCGACAAACGGAATGGAAACTGACACATAAATATTTGAACTGACGTGCCATTAAGTGAAGGATAGATAAATCACCGGATCGACTAATTGACTAACTGGATTCTAGTTCACTGGTTCTTTGCATCACTCACGAACTCGACCCAACTCATTTACTGACTCCTTACATAACTGACTGACACAAGTTCTACTTTCGGTGAGCGACTTTTTTTTAATTGAAAAACATATCAACCTGCCAGTTCTGATTACAATACCTTTACAGACCGGGCAGCTGACTTAGGATTTACCTTACATGGTGGTACTGGTAGTCCTGTCATTCATGGAGATCTAGGTATTTTCATCGACAAGGTGATTCCCGGCAGCCTGGTGGACAAAAAGCTGAGTCCTGGGGATAGAATACTATCAGTAAGCTCACTTCTTTGAAACAATTTTCAACATAATGACAACCAGGAAAATTTGTGTTGAGTACTTCTAGAGCTTTACAAGTTGATTATAGATATTCAAATTATAACACCACTACTACCGCCGCTGTCGCCACGGTAGCTAGCATTATTGTCATTTTTTTTTTCTTCCGTGCCATTTCCTTCCTTTCCTTTCTCTCGCATTTCCTTGTTATTTTCCATTTTATCCTCTTCTTCGTCATTTTTCTCATTCTCACCATTTCGCTTTAATTCATCCTCCTCTTTCTTCTCCTTTTCCCTCTTCCATTCTTTACCAATCCCCCTCACACCCTTCCATCTTCAGCCTCTCCCTTCCCTCTATCGTCACCAACAACATCATTATCCTTGCCTTGTACTCATTACTCATTCGGTTCTGTTTGTTAACAGTACTTATTCCTATTTTAAGATAAACGGACTCAATGTCACTAAAGTACCGCTGACATACGCACGCCAGGCAGTGAGAAAAGCTAGGGGAACGGTCAAACTTTACGTCAAGAAAGCCCCAAAAAGACAGGTATCAATTAAAGTTGTAAGTGCCTTACACAACGCTAATACTGACTTATTTGCATCGATTATCACATGATGTCAGATTGCTTCGAATGTGGCCTCCTACGAATACTTTTTTGGATTGTGACGCAACTGTTTCGGGGGGTTTGCGCGTCGTCCCGAGTGAAGCATTTCATAGAAGGCTTAGTGGACTGATAATAGTTGGAGTACAACAAGGGTATAAGATGGGTTCCACCCAGGGCCCCCAGACCCTGCTTGAAGGTAGACCGTGGAGAGAATAGGTGTTCGATATGCCAACCACTGTACATACGGTGTGGAGCACCAAGCTTGTCTGCAGATGTCAAGAGTAAGATAAAAACCTTAATGGGTAATAAAATTGTTCTCGCCCTAGCAAATAGTTAACAAAGCCATAAGGAAAGAGAACGAACAAGACGTTCCCTTGTTCAGCGACGAGCAGATCGAAGGTAATTTCAATTTTGTTGTTTGGTGTAATTGCTAAAGTTTTAAACAACATATACAACTTTAGAATCGATCTTTCCTATTAAGCTAACAAGAATTTCGAAGTTTTTCTTGCGATGAAACGACTATCTCGAGTGGCTAATGAACGAATAGAGAAAAAAATGACCTAATAAATAATTATTTGACCAACTAAGTAATTACAACGGACTGATAGACAAAATAACTGAATGACTCACCGGATGAGTGACTGACTTACGGAATAAAGGAGGCAAGTTCTTATAGAAACTTTGAACTGAGTTTATAAAGTATATTGGTCACCTCAGACTGGAGCATCTAAAGCTGAAGTTACGAGCATTAGCCCCTCCTCAGAGCGAGCTAATACTGATCAACTGGCAGATTATCTAACTGGTTGACTTTTTGATTGACTTCTTGGCTGATTGACTGACAGACTAATTGAACTGCTGACTGGCTTGCAGCCTGACTTACTCATTGACCAACCAATCGCTGAATGATTGGCTAACTGGCCAAGCAAGATCAAAGAGAAAAAACACTTACTGTTTTGTTTCTTCTTATTTACAGAGTTCGAAGATGCTTTTTCCGTTTACGACGTACAGGGCACAGGAAGAATCAAACTAGGAGCCGTTTTTCCTCTGATTCGTTCACTGGGATACAATCCTCTCGAGGCAAAAGTTTGGGTCTTTATGAATGAACTGGACTTAACAGGTGGGATGTACTGTAATTGGTCGATCCAATTATACTCAGATCAAACTAAAAGAACGTCAATTTTTTTTATCTGTATGTTTAGTCAGTAGATCACTGGTGTCCAAATATTGTCACAAAACTGACCCACATGGAGAAAATGATTTACCTAAGGCTGATAAGTGCGTATGAAAACTTTAAGGAACATTTCCAACCCCAAAGTCAAAGGGTCATAATTATTCGTTCGAGAAATGAAGTGAATGAAATTTTTTTTTATTCTACTAGAAAATGTTCATATTTCAATGTTTATTCTTTCGTATCACTAGCAAACCGGAAATTGAAGTTTGAAGAATTTGTAAGACTAATGGAGGTCTTAATAATTGATGAAAACGAAAACGAAGAACCCTCGCTCGATTCAATCCGGGTATTTGACCCAGAAGAACTCGGCTTCATCGGCTCCGAAGATCTGAAGATTGCTCTGAAAAGCATGCCGGGAAGTGCTTACATGAGTGACTTCGAGCTACGAGATATTCTTCAAAAAGCTGATCCTGACAAAGATGGAAAGATAGATATTCAAGGTAATTATTTGAAGGGCTACAGTTATCTCCTGAATATTTTTTTGGTGGAAAAATTTTCGGTGGGGAGGGGAGATAAAATTTTACAGCAGAATGAACTTTTGTGTTTAAATAATGTCTTTGTTATTCTTGGTGACCGGTTAACGCGGTCATTATTTATTGTTGGGGGTGGTGGGAGGGGTAGGGAGTCACGAGGAAAGCTTCTTACGTGATCCCCCCAGGGCTCTCTAATATTCTTGCGATCCCCCTCTCATTCACAGTTAGTTTGAAGTTAATTTTATATACTGTCGGGGACGACTGATTCCCCCAAATGGCGACGACTGATTCCGGCAACTTCATACCCGTTTTTGAGATAATTCGATAGTGCGGTATGCGCCAAGTTTCAGGGCATATAGAGAATAAAACAATCAGAAAAAAACAACCTAAACAAAACATTAAAGAAAGAGATTGAAGAATGAAACTTCACACGAATTTTCATAGTTTTGGTAGTCACGTTTATAAAGGTTGTCATGGAGTTTCTTAAATCCTCGAATAAGCGCCTTCTCTCGAAACGCGCCCCCTTCAGTTAAGCGCTCTTTCGAGCGCGCCCCTCGTATTTGTTAAATCAAGGTATTTACCACACTCAAGAAGTTGAAAGAGAAACAAGTATAGATTCTCGAACCTCTTTTATTTTTCCCGACAGATTTTCAAAGTCTTTTGGAACCGTCGGTGAGACTAAAATAGCTGAAGAAAAATCCTGGTCTAGGTTCTTGTTATAACTATTGTGATTTCAAAATATAAACTATGAAATGAAACTTAAAGAATGTTAAAAATGCCATCCTCTTCAGTGGAGATCTCAAAGGACCATATCAAAGCCGAGGCCAAAGAGAACTGGTGCATAAAATGGAACGGTAACAATGAAATGAAAAGCCTCAGACTTCATAAATCTTAGGCCTTTCAAATATAAACTATAAGGATGCGAACAACGAGATGTTATTATTTTTTCTGTCTGGAGTTACGCCTTTTGTTTGTTAACTCTTTCAACTTGTCCTTATATTATGTCTTACTGACTCTTCTATCGTTTATTGAATCACAGAGGTTTACACATAAGCAAAATATGTCTTTTTTATTAACCTACGGTTCCCTGCAAAACGGTTGAAAAGGAATTCTAAGTCCTCAAAAATTTGTTGGTGGGCATGTACCCTGGACTCCTCGAACGATTTGCGTCCTCGACACTCGATCATCTCTCTAATCGGTTCCCAATCGGCGAAAATGCACGCAAAAACCCTGTCCGTAGTCAAAAATTGTTAAATTAGGAGTAGCCCAGAATCTGATAGCGTCTCTTGTAACTGCAGTGTGCAAATCTGTCAGGCGTTCCCGCCAACCGTGAGGCTCGTCCGCGAGGAGAATTG